GGTATTGGGGACATACCTAGATTATCTTTAATTCTCTTTTCCATCCACGCTCCTGAGTGGTTCCACCTCATCCTTCCTTATTTTCTTTTTATTTTCAGACCTAAAAAACCTCATTATTTTATTTTAATTTCTTTGGCAAGACTTAATTCAGCTTGACTTTTGAAAAGTCTCTCTTTATTCCTCCATTGTCTCATCTCCATGATGTAAGATCTCTTTGATGATCAACCCTTTTTCTCTTCCCTCTAGTCTCTCTGCTTATTTCCAAGAAAGGAGGATGGGTGCAGCGCTTTGCTATGATTTTGTTCAGTTCTTAACAAAGCAGAGCACTGATCTCAATTAGTACTTTTATGCTCTATCACAATACAAGCAGCAACATTAGCGCTATTCAATTTTATAGTCATTTTATCAATCAATATCTTATTTTTGTGCTAGGCATTCACACAATTGTTTACATATATTTCTTTGTGGAACTCATATACACAAACAATTTCAAACATTTTATCTGGACCTAAAAAAGGGGAACTCAAGCTATGAACATAGGCCCAGAAGAATTCTTCAAATTAAGGAAGCGATTAGAGGACAAATAAGAAAAATACTCACGTGAAAAAGTTAACTCAGCTAGGGGAACATCACAGTCCATACAGTCATCAATGAAGCAAATGCATATGCTTTCTGCTTTAATCTCCACTCCAGAGATCAACTGAACCGGCACAGTCGCCTGGCTACCTCGACCTCCAGAGGCTAACGACTGTGAATTCAAAGGTTCAGCATTCTTAAATAACCAGCTTGCTGCTTTTTTCAACTGGCCTTAAAAGAAACAAGCAAACAATCCAGTAATTTGTTATGAACATTATTTCAATCATTCATACAAAATAACCCAGAAAAGTAATCAAATGAATCCCCAACAAAAACAAAAAGTTATAGCAAAGTGGTATAAGGTTTGTTTTATTTAAGGAAAACAAGGAAATTAAGGTTAGGAAATATAATGGAATACTCCTTTATCAATAGAAAGTAATCTCTTAAGGTTGCAAACTGAGAAGCAACAAAGTATTTGCTGGATTAAAATCTGAGTGACTATAAAAAGAGAAGGTAAATGACAATGGTATAAAAACCAAAAGAGAATCTTGTGCCTTAATTTGATTTTGTTTCTAGATATTATGTGTAAAAAGGAGTACAGAGGCAAACTATGCAACAAGAAAAGCATGAAGATTAGTGTGTGTAACGGGAAACATAAGGTGAAAGTGAGAAACACATGCAGCATAGAAACTGATGCGAATTTCTAGATTTAAAAAAGAATGTTAGGATGAATTAGGATAAAAAATACTTGATTCATGTAACAACTACAGGGGAACTGCAATCTTGCTAATTGATAAGTTTAAATAAATAAAATACAGCATTATGGTGATGTAAGTGAGGTAAATCATTAACACACAGACACTTAAAAAAGAAGAATATTTAGGAGACAGGGAATAACCAACAACAAGATAATATTTAAAGAACATAATATGAATATTTAAAGGATGTAGCTATGTATTTTTTGATGGCTGGATGATAGAAAACACTATTTTCCATTTTGTCGCTGTTTCAAGAGACTGCTAGTATGTCTATTTGATGTATTAAAAACCAGACTCTAATTTACAAAACTAAAATTGCAAATGACGGAAAAATTATTTGGAATTACCTTGGCAAATCAAAAGAGCTTTACGACAATCATCCATACTAAATCCCAGGTCCTGAAGTCGAGCTAGTTGTACTTCTGTAATTAAAGAAACATTTAGCCACTCTTTTGCCCCCATATGAATTAGTTGCTTTATTTTTATAAAAATGAAATGTACTATTGTTTAAAAAATTAGTTTTTCTCCATAAGTGGACCCATTCTGAAAGTATAAAAGATTGCTACTTAAAGAACAGCTAAAATACATTAACATTCAGAGATGCTTTAGGCCAAACATTCTATTTTGTTAAATATTAATCTGTTAGAACACAAGCTAGATATCAGTTCCAGAAGGTAACTTTAGTGTATGCAATTTAATACTGTACTAATACTGTACTAATAATTCTTGGATTCATACATCAAATCCTTCAATGTTGTGGAGGCATTCCTCATCCCTCCATTATGCCTAAGAACTGCAGTACAGAAGACAGAGCCTATTTCACTCGTGAATGAGTATTTCCTTGATTTCATAAAGTTGTGCTCCTAACTACACTTTAAACAAACTTTTTACAAAGACAGTAAAGTGTTGTTAGAGGAAAGGGAGACACCGATGATGATTGTTTTACATTATAAGTCTCAATAGAAACTATTTAAAAGCACTGTATTCCTCTGCAGTGATTGCAACCTAAGCATTACTGCATTCTGCTAAAGAAGGAAGGCAAATACTTTTTAAAATTGACTGAAAGCTAACACTGACTAGTCTACTTTCATATTGCAAGCAGAATAACAGAGTTTCATCACTATTTGATGGCATCCATCACCATATCAGATTTTATATAATCAAGCTACAGCCATCTGTTTTGTTAAAAATTACATCTGGCTTTACTCTGCAGAAGCCTCCTTAAGGCATGGAAAATGGCTTTAGTCTAATAGTTGAATGCATACCAAGAACTGGATCCAATATGTGTTTAGATACGTCTCTGTTTTCAGATGTTGATGAGATTTCATTTTCCCAAGATAAATTGGAAAGATTATTAGCAGCAGTCTCGGTATCCAAGACACAGGACTCAGGCACAGCAGCACCGGTCTGCCCAGGGATGGACTTTGCAATGGCCAAAAACAGCTGCACATCATTATAGGATAGTCTGATGTCCAGGGCTTGTAACTGAATCTAAAAGAAATTTACAAAATCCAATATGATTAAAGTGTCAAACAGACATTTTTTCTTTCATTTCCATTTTGTATGCAATACATTAGGGCAACACACTGCCAGAATAAAGGAAACCATATCACAATGAGACATTTACATTGTTTCAAAGCCATCATACTAAAAATGCCGTTTCTCTCATTAACCAATTATGCAGAAATTTTAAATATCCTAAATGCCAACAACTGCAGGATAAACCATCTCGACATGTCCTAGAACCTTAGCTATTAGTAAGTTCCTATCCAGAAAAAGGATTAACCAAAATCCCCAATCAGGAAAGGTATTTTTGTTTTGATTTTAAAGGGGGAGGAGGACTAAATGTATTTCCTATAAGCAAATGTTAATAAGATGACTTACTAATTTTGTTTGTAATTACTTCTTTTACTAAACTTATGGACAAGACTCAAAAGTTACCTTGTGGCATCACTTGCTTTTTGTCGTAAGTTACTTTTCCCTATTATTTCTGTAAAATAAATGTATTGAATTCCGCTAAAAATTCCAGCAGAAATCACTCTATGCTTACTACTAAAAACATGTTTCCTGCTTTTCTGCCTCTTCGTTTTATTTTGGAAAACAATTTTGTCTTATTCTTTTCTTACGTATGTGACAAAGCACTATTCTGAATTTACAAATGTGATGAACTTGTGGAATGTATTCTAGACTATTATGACAATGAACAATTTTTTTTCAGTCACTTTCTTTGATCTTACCTCTAGAATTGGTGGGAAATCTTCACTATTGAATGCATCCAACAAGCCTGAGCCCCTAGGATAAGACGAATTCCCAACAAGTTCCATTTGAATATATACAGGATCAATGATAGACAGTGCTGTGTCCTGCTCATTTCCCAGTCGGCAAGAAAAAACCTAAATGAGTGAAAATCAAAATGCATTGATAAACCGAGCAAAATTTTGCATGAGCTCTTACAGCTTCCAGAATGAAGCTCTCAACTCCCCTTTGTAGGGGTAAGGGTACCCCCAGGGAGGGAACAAGAGATACATTAAATAAACCAAAAATGGTTTTAATCAAGCCTATTTTTAAGGATCTTTCCCCTTTTACTTTCATTCTTAAATTGACGAACCCCATTTCATGGAGAGACTATGTAAACAGAGCTCAAGATGATTATTATTTTAAATATTTTGTCTGAATTCAGGGCTTAAAGAAGGCTGTTTCGTCTAGATATAGAAGTTATCTGTTATTCACAAGCCATGAGCTATAGGAACCATTTTGGGGAACAAGGGGTGGGGATTGGAGGAAGTTAGGCAAGAAATTGACTCTGTATTCATAGCCCATTCAACCATTGGTCTCTGTTGAAAATATCAACTAACTAGCCAATTAATATCAAATGTAGTGGTGATTTTTTTTCCACATAGGCATTTACCTATTACAAGGTAGACTGAAACCAAAAAATTTTAAGTACGCAACCAAAAACCATTAGGTAACTAACACACTCTCCTCACGTGACCTGGATTTGAACTGGTGACCTAGACAAGAAAGGCTCTTATATCACCCAACAGTATAATAAGAGCATTTTAATCAGAGTATCATAACAAAAGAAGCCATTAGACTGGGAATTAGGAAAGTTTTGCGAATCTAAAGGGAATCTCAAATATTTTATCAAATAGAATTTCTAGATCTTATTGACAGGAATTTAATATATAATATTTTAAAAGAGGATTCACAGATTTGGAACCCTAACTGTATCTGAAGAATCAAAACTCAGTTCAACTAGCTTCAAACCAAAAGCTTGTATTTTATTCTGTAGTCAACAGTTGGAATCGGTGCTATTGAAAGATTATCAACATCCCCCCCACATCTCCAAAGCTCGTATGAAAATTCAATATATGCAAACTGAACGTAAGAGTTCCCTACTGCACACTATATATAAGAGTTTAGAAGATAAAATTTCCATAGGTATATATTAACAAAGTTTGACATAAAAATCAAAGACATACATTGTCGCTAAACACCTGAAAAAGTATTTGAGCAATACCATTGCAGACAACAGTTGTTTGCAAATTCAAGTTTAAAGGTTAGGCCATCGAGAAGATGTGCCTGATAGTTTGAGTTTCTAGCCAAGTATTTTAATACTATAGCACAAGCAGTGTGGAAATGGCCTTTATACTGTAATGGGTTGAAAGCACTTGATAAGGAAATTAATAAGTTATGGTAGCAAAGCACTCCAGAAACAATTTTTAATATATTCTATTTATCATTGCATTTCAGTCAAAGCTTTTACTAGTAAAACATCTTAGTTACTTAATCCAACATTACAATAAATGCTTATAAAATGCAAATAGTTTCATCTTACCTCAATATCAGACAAACTACCAGAGAAAGGTCGATCCACCAATTTGGGCTTGTATGTAAGGACAGTGGTTCCTTTCAGAATAATTGCATTGGTATCAAAACTAGACATGTCTTCAACTACCACAAATTCAGTACCTGACCAAAATAAATGACACACAATTAACTGTGAAATCCCCTGGCACTTGACTTGATTCTGCTTCATTATTCTTCTGTGGAATTTAATGTAACAGCTCCTAAAAGCAAACAGTCTAATCTAATTTGTATAAGCATTAAAAGTATGTATTTACCTGTTACATTAATCTTGACTTCCAGTTGTTTTTCAGTAGTCACCTGGAGAGAAGAACGTTTTGTAACTATTCCACTTTTCACTGTTTTAGGAACTACAGTTGTTTCACTGCTATAAGTGCGTTGTCGAGCAGAAGTCAGATTATCCTGCTTTTTAACATCACTGGGAGTATGTAGAAAGTCATGAACAAGCAGCAGCCAGTCAAATATTAAAAATACACGAAGGTTGTTCAGAACAACTGTGAAACAGGAGGAATCCTTAGTGGATCTAATTTACAAAAAAAAAAAGAAGACGACCATGTATCATATCAATATCATATGCTAAAAAAAATGTTCTTTACTTCTGGCATCTGATTTTCCACCTTAAAATTAATTTTTATATTAAGGTTAAAAAATATCAAGTGAACAGGTAATATAGTGGATTTTATGTGAATGTAATTTGCTTACATGCAGTTTTCTGAAACTATTAGAGATTTTTAAAAGATCTATTTTTTACATCAGTTTGTGTTTGGGCTTATTCAAAAATAAAAAATGTTTATAACAAAATAAACAATGAACAATGGTATAATTAGGAGGCTTAAATTAATCATAAATTTACTTATATAACCATCTTTACTACAATGAAAATATTTGTGACAAAGTCAACTTTTAAATTTTAAATTTTATTTTTGACATCTGTTCAGTATTATTGCTGATGTATTGTGTGTGACGTTTAAACCAGGCTCAGTGCCTCTTAAAAAAGATTAAAAATACAATATGTCTCCTCTAACATTTTGACCACATTTTGTACCACAAGGAGCTTCTCTATCATTCAGGAAAAATGCTATCCTAACTGAACTTTTTAGCACCACACATTTTGAATACCCCTTCCGAAGGGACAGAAAATTTGACTTAATCTGGAACTCAATTATATCTAGTCATGTTAAATGGAAAATATTTCAGTTGTTTAAATACCCATGAATCTATTTTATATCTGATGCATTCTAAACTGTACAGTCCCTAAAGAAACATAATTCCTTAGTAATAAGTGACATGTATGCCCAGCCTTTAACAATAAAATCCTTTAACCCTCCTTGACTCTCTGGGATATTTCCTAAAGCAAGAGCCAGGGTAAAACTATTGCTTAATCCTACAAAATCTTTTATCTAGTGCCAAGGAGATATTCCGCAATGAAAAAGCATAGAACAGATAGTATATGGATAGTGCAAATTACTGAAATGATTAGTAACTATATTTCATATGATGTGATCAACAAAGCTAAAATCTTTAAATGCTCAATCTGACTTGCCATATAAATACGAGGATCAGTCACAATCATTTCATTTGATTACTTCAAGCACTATTTTTAAAAATCTCTAGTATAACCGTAATAATTGTTGTTGCTAAGTATCTGTAGCTATTCTGAGTTCAAATAGGACGCAGACATCTTCCAGGGGTACATCAACTCATTTGTCTAATTTTCCAAACTACATAAAAAGAACTAATGAAGTCAGTTCAAACCACAATTCCATACAGTGACTAGTTTAGACTGTTCTATAATCTATACACTGAAATAGAAGTACAATATTTATATTTCAATTCATTTATTTTATAATTATATGATAAAAATGAGGAAGGAAGCAATTTTACAGTAAAAGTGTGCTTTGACTCTTTGCTATTTTTAAGTCTGATTTTGTAAGCAAGTAGTTTTAAGCAAGGTGAAACTTGGGGAGGAGGGTGTAAGAAAGACAAATCAGCCTCCTGAACAGGGTACAGAAGCCAAGAAAGATTGAGAGCCACTGTAATAGACTAAGCTGTCAAATATTCCTGAACCACATTTTTCTACAGTTACAGTTTAACATATTCATTGAACCTATATAACAACTACTTAGGATTACTCAGATACCGGTTATAGACTTATAAGGTAGAGGCCTACAAAAAGATTATGGATCATGAACTGGAATGAAATATACTACAAAAACTGGTATTAGTCTGTGTTCTCTAGTGATTTTCATCAAAAAAAGCTCAGAGCATTTTACAAATATTAAGTGAGTTCCACAAGACCCATCTGAGATATCACACTGATTTTACAAAGTGTGAAAGAGAGGCCAGGCCAAATGACTCTCTCAATTCAGTCAGTGAGTTTATGCCAGGACTTGGAATACATCACAAGAGCCTTACTTCACTTTCCCATCCTTTAACCAACTAGACAACACACATCCCCTAATAAAATATAATTAAAAATATCAGATTTTAACACTAAATATTGTTATGTGCAAAACAGATATCATTTTCTTACATGGTTACATTATCATAAGGTACCTTATATGTCAAACATTTAACTAGAACTACACAAATCTCAAATTTCTAGTGCTTTCAAGCATTCCAAGAGTATTTGATGAGCAAGACAAACAAAGGAAACAATGCCCACTTACATTGAGGAAGCATGGGGATTTACTGTTAAAATATGTTATGTAGATGAGGCACCATTTCTGGATTTAACATCCCAAAAATGAAAAGAGCGACATCTACTGGAATGTTATTTTAACTGCAAATACATAAATCCTTTGAGTAAAAATTCCATAATTTAAATACATACTTATAAATATGTATCTGTATAGCTAATAAAGATTTCATTTACAGGCAGGTAATTTAAAAAAACCCTACAAAATGTAAGGGTAAAGAAGAGTTTATTTTGAAGAAGAAATACCAACATTCGCTAATTATAAAACCCACTTCACTTTTAACTGTCCCTTGAAATGTGATAACCATTTATGCTAAACAATCTGTTCTTTTTTTATCTTTAGCTGTGACACTCTTAGGTTTCCCAAACTCAAAAAAGAGCTCTGTGTGAGCTCAATAGCTTTTCTCTCTCACCAACAGAAATTGGTCCAATAAAGTATATTACCTTACCCACCTTGTCTCTCTTGTTGACTGACAACTACGGTAATGCTGCGCATGTACAAATATTCATTCATATGCCAATGTGTTATTTAAAAAAGAGCTCCTGGATTCACCCACCTGAAATGCAATTCAATCTGTATTGCTCCTTTAGTACTACTATTCTTTGATGACTGAAAGATGCAGTTGAACACATTAGGCATGCCTAAAGTTGTCTTCTGTCCAGCATAACGAGTGTCGAATGCCATCATAGAATGTGAAACCAAGTTAACAGATTTTGTCTCATTTGAGAAACTCTCAAAAAGCAACTTGGATTTCTTAAAGTCAAACCTGGTAGATTAAAATAAAAAAAAATCTGTTACAAGATTCTTCCAACGTATACTCATAAAAAAACCCCCACTACTGGATCTTAAGTGTCCATGCAATGCAGATAGGACCTCTGTTTTTAAGGATTATCCTGAAAATCCTTTAATTCCAAAACTGCATGGAATCCCATCGGTCTTGGAAGGATAAAAGGCTGAGTCAACCCACCTGCAACTTGAGCCCTTGGTTTTCCATGCAAAGCTCAACTATTAAGTGACTGTTCTTATTACAAATTACAACTTAGAAGAGGAGAGGAAATTAAGGGGCTTAGAGTAATACAATACTCTCCCATCAAATCATCTAATACAGACTTCATCCATCTTATCCATTCTGTGCAAATATTTAAGTATCAATTTGAATGATAAATCAGCATAATTTATTTTCTTTATATAATAATATTAAGAAAAGTATTATACTTCGTAAGCATTAATTTAGACAAAAAGCAGTTGTCAAAATCATACCTGGCTAATGAGCTGAGTCCATCCTTTCCTTTTGGATCAACCAGTTCCAGACTCACATTAACCATGTCAATAAGAAAAGACATAGATGTATACACTTCTCCACTCAACACAGTCTGCAAATGAAAAATAAGATTTCCTATAAAACACCTTGATTATTTCAGATCCTTGATTTAAGAATTTTCTAATGACCAAGTAAGCAAACATTTATGAGGTCATATACAGAATTTTCCTCAATTAAATTTGATTAACATATTTCAGAAAAATAAACTTTTAAAATAATTGTAATCTCAACCAAGAAAAATGAAATTCAGTTCCACAGTAATGTTAAAAAAATAAATTTCATTTATTTTATTTTATTTTTATTTTTTTTAAATCTCCAAGCCTGTTTAAAGCCACTGCTATCCACGGACAATTACTACTGTTCATAATCTCTTTTCAAAACAATTTCTGATGCAAGTAGTGACAATAGAAAATTATGATACAAAATTACAAATAGGCTCCTCTTTATTCCTCTGATTGTTCCTGAGACAACACAGAATTCCCCAAACACAATGAGTTCATTTACTAGAACCTTTATTACCAGTGAAACAGTGTCATTTAACAAAACCTAGACAGGACTTATTTGTGCATGTTTTTAAGCTAGCAGAACTCAAAGTTTCTCTCACATGAATTCTTGGATCCTGCAGATCATAAGGTCGCATAAACTCTTCTATAGGTTCCCCAAGGTTACTCTCCAATAGTCCTCGAATAAGTTTATATTTACTCAGATCCAGAGAGCAATGGACTGATGACAGATTGCCATGAATTGATATGTTTGGAACTGCGTGACTTATCTCCCTATAACAGAGAAAGAAACAATGTCATAAAACCTTCAATTGGAGTGCTTATGCATGGGAAAACAATGAATTGCAGCATCTTTCATCTACATATAGGTTTCAATGGTATCTGGCAAGTATTCTTTCATTCAAGACATGGTACCAATTTAAGTGACAAATCACAGGCTCATTGCTGCATTTTAAGGTAAATTTTTTAAAAGCACCGAAGGGACTGAAGTGCTAACATCTCACTGAAAGCCACGTGGGTGCTTTTGAAATTTTTACTCTAAGCCTAAAAATGTCCAAAAGTTCTTGACTACTTTCTAGATAAATATGAATTATAGAAAATGCTTACAGTGTTTTTATTTTTTACACTTTATTTTGCACTTTGTTTAGTGCTTTATACATTGGCCGACTTCCATGGTTTTGGGTGGGATTTGCTAAGGGTCTTGAGCAGTGTTCCCTTTAAGGTATGCACCTGCACGGCCGCACACAAAACATTCTAAGCCCACCCACCTCCACTGCAGAGCCGCACAGCAGCACTCATCTTCCTGCTGGCTGTTCCAATGGCCGGCTCTGTCGCTGGGGGTTGGAGCCTCACCCGCGTGGTGGGCAGGCAAGCGGCTGCCACCAGGGGTTGGGGCCTTAGCCGTATGGTGAGCGGCTGCTGCTCCTGGTTGAGGCCACAACCACAAGGAAGGCGGGCAGCTGCTCCAGAGGCCAGGACTGTGTAGCTCAGATACTGGTGAGGGAGGAGGAAGGAAGCTGGGTAGCCCCCTCAGAAAGACACCAGTAAAGTGTGTCCAACAATGAGTATACACTCGACTGGCCACATGCAGATTTTTCAAGACTGGGTTGTTGGTCTTGTTAGTCAGTTATACAGGAGTGTGGGCAAGGGCGGACCTAGACTAGCTGCCAGCTACTGGCACCCTAGGTGAACCATGCAATTGGCGCCCCCACCTCCAAACCCCTCAATGATATTGCGCCACCATTTGGCACCCCATTTAACTTGGCGCCCTAGGCAACCGCCTAGTTCACCTATATGGATGGGCCACCCCTGAATGTGGGGCATTTTACAGATACATGCATCATAAGTAGGAACCTTTGGAATGCCATATACGTGCAGGATCTGCAAACACAGATCAGATGGCTGGGTTGGCGGGGGCCAATGGCCCAGTCTGTCAGTATATGTTAACTAGCATTCTGGTAAGTCACATGAACAGCTCCATTACATTAAACACTATTCACTGCAATAGGCACAGCACCTGTTGTCTACAACTCACAATATTTAAGAATAACTGAGGTTGTAGTGTGCCTGTATACCTAGAGGTGCAATCTCTAGGAGGGAATTTGGGTGCAGGAGAAAGTAAAGAAGAAGAGGATGCTGGCTCAGGGAGGGGGCTCCAGGCTGGAGAGTGTTGGGGTGAGATGTAGGGTTGGGGTGCTGAGAAAGCCACAGGCTTGTGGCTGTGAGGATGCAGGAGTTTGGGCTGGGGTGTATGAGGGGCTCAGGGCAGGGAGGCTGGGAGTATGATGGGCTTTTTTCAAGTACATGTAAAAACTATAGTATGAAGTGCCTCATATTTACTTAAAAACTCCTTAGCTGTGTAACATAGGTAGCAATATTTCAAAAATATCAGTAAAAATTGGGGGAGACTAAACTGTGTATTCCACTGTGGAGTTAACATTATATATTAAACCACAGTATAGAGTGTGAAATTATCCAGATAATTGTGGCTCACTTGTCTAAGTTTCTCTCTACTTGCAGCTTTAATCCAAAAGGTTCCGTTAAGAGACTTCCTCCTGTCTGCCTCACAAAGTAGGAAGGGAAGTTCAGATCTGCACTGGTGTTCTCTTTTCCCTTAGAATATTCTCCAGAGTATCTCTCTGCAGCAAAGATGTCCATGTTCTGCAGATCAACCACAATGCAGTCTAACAGGCAGATATGATCCTCTGGAAGATACACAAGATTCAGATATCAATAAGATTAAGCATTCTGAACCAGGGGAGTTGACCACCATGCTGGGTCCCTGGAAAAGGTGTCACACGGTCATCTTCTCCCCAGCCTTTACAGCTATCCAATACATAGCACTTGTGCGATGATTTAAAGAGCCCAGAGCTCCAGGTTCCACCTCTGTCACAGTAGCAACAGTGGCAGCCAGGAGCCCTGGGCTCTTCAAAATCATTGGATCCTGGGGCAGTTGCCCCCCTCTGCACCTCTCCCCCACCGTCAATGGGCCTGTTCTAAACTAATGAAACCACCTACAGAAGAAAGTTGACTTTATTATGGAAATAATTCTCTTCTGTTTATGTTCTGCTGCTGCTGCACTCATCACTGTGGTATCTGATACACATATGCATTAACTCATACGATCAATTCCTCAATTATGTGAGCACAGAATGTGTCATGGAATCCATGTCATGCAGCAGAACTGTGCTACAAAATTTAAACTTTCATGTTCAGGCAAAAGTTATATTTCTAATCCTTGTTAGGGATGTTAAATTTAGATTAACTAACTAATCAAACAGTCAATGGGATTTCCATCAACCATTTGATTGGTCTATAAGGGCGCCTCCACCTTTGAACTGTAGCAATAGCCTTCTGGGCTTTTGCTACAGTTCAAAAGCGGAAGCCCCATAGGGTGCATGGAGCCAGCAGGGAATTGGCCCTGTGCTCCCTGCAGCACCTGAACATTTGAAATTTACAAGAACCCCAGTGAGGCTCTTGTACATTTCAAAAGCAGAAGCCCTGGAGGGAGCGGGGGCCAATGCGGGACTCCCCAATCCCTGTGGTGCCTCAGCCTATGAAATATACAAGAGCCCCAGTGGGGATCTTGTATATTTCAAAAGGAAGCCTAGCAGTGAGTTCAAGGGGCGACTCCCCGCTGGCCCCGCGCTCCTTACAGCACACAACTCAGCCTTTGAAATGTACAAGAGCCCTCGTGGGGCTCAAGTGCATTTCAAAAGCAGAATCACAGCAGAAGTGGCACGAGCAGAGACTGCTTCAGCTCCCGCTCACACCATTTCCCACCGTGCCTCTACCTCCCCTGCCTCGCACGGAGATGGTGCTGGGGGGCACTGGCTTTTAAGCCAGATCCCCCCCAGCACCAGCTCTTGCTGCACCCCTTGCTGTCTCTCTCGGATAGAGGCAGCAAGGGGCAGGGGGGAGGGAGGAATCGACTAGTTGCTTCACTAGTGACTAGTTGCTTATGTCCTTAATCTTTGTGGTTGCAAACATAACCTTAAAAATGTGAATGGTGTAGTAACATCTCTCTGAGTTTGCAGAGTGAAAACGGCAACAACAAATTCCGAAAGTTAAAGATAAACACAAAAATCTCACCATTGTTAATTACATTACTGCTGATCACTGAAAGCCCAATCTAATTCCTACTGATTTCAGTGAGAGCTGGATTAGACACATGCTCACATATATAAACTGCTTATTACTCATTCCCAGAAACAAGAATTCCAAATGTTGACTGCTCTGCTATCCAAATCTTCAGCTTCTTCCTTCCTCTATAAGGAAGTTATGCAAGAAAATAAGGAACATAGGACCTAATATACCGAACACGTTGGTAGTTTCCATATTTCATTAAAATTTCATTTTTTTTTTAAATCTTAAAAATGAAACCTTAGATTTTGAAGTTCAATTCTGTGGACAAGCAGTGTATAGGGAAATCTAGCTAGGTTTTTATCACCATGGCATGCATGGTCTCTCTCTTCTGTTATCTATGGTGTTATGAAATTTAATTACAACTGTTCAAAAAGGAAGGACACATTCCTACACCCTCCATATGAATAGTAAAATGAGGGAAAGTTAAGTAGGCTGCCCTATTATCTCTCACATACCTGGATTGTCAGAGATTTGTGTAAGAGGTGATTTTGGTGGTTGTCCTTGCTGTTTAGTCAATATACTCAATCCAGACTCGCTTTTCAGATTCATATTAGTTCCAGAAGATGATCTCATGAATAACCCTTCTGTCGGGCTCATAACCCCCTTAAATTCATCTGAACTTGTTGTTTTCTTTATGCTATGTTTTGGGGTTCCCAGCGGTGAAGAAAATGGAACAGAATCCTGCTAGTGAAAGGAATACGGTGATTTATATTAGAGATTGCACTTCTCATTTTAAAATAGATTAATACATGGAGTATCGATGAAGTAATTTTCTAAAAACTAAGAAAAGTGGAAAAAGTAGTATAACCACTAACCATAAACAAAATTATCTATTTGAAAAACAAAACAAAATGTCACTCCAAATTGTGGCTCTCCTTAAATATTAGAACAATTCCAAAATGAAGTCATATAATCACATATGAAATTTTTGTCCCTGTTTTTAAATTACTCATAAATTTTCACTAGAATAAGATTTACAGTCTAATACATTTAGAAAATAGGAGTGAAAAGTCTACATAGACTTTTTTTAAACTTTCAGAAAAATATTTCATTAAAATTATTAATTAAAGGGGTAATATATTAGATATTTCTGATATAACTGCAAGTGTCAGATTTCATACATTTTATGATCCATTTGTGCTAATTATTTTCAAGCCTTTGAACACTTGGGTAAAAAGTTTTCAATGGTGCCTTTCCATATACTCTAGGCACCTTATGCATGACATAAAATGCACCCCAAGTGCAGCAGAACTATTTCTTTAACTCTCCATTAGTCAACAACATAAAAACCCATATCTCTTTTCCTTAATTCATTTCCCACCTTTACATTTACAATTCCACAGAAAGAAGAGGAGCTTTGTTTATGATTAGTATTACACCTTTTCTTCACTTAGATTTTAACAGTTTTGTGCACTAAAGTTTTCCATCTTCAAAACACAATATCTAAACATCAGAAGATTGCAAAGGACCTACTATTTTGCTTTTTAATTTTCTGGGATTTCTGAACAGTGGGAAAGGAACTAAAAATACGTTAATGTCTTGGGATCTATTTACTACCTCCCCCCATTAATGCTCATATACCTCTCACTGAGCACTTCTGGGGGGTTATACACCTTCTTTATAATCCAAACCCAATTCAAAGTTACCTTTATGGATTTGGGTTTTTTTTTTTTTTAAACACACCCATTAGATTAAACTACATTTCATCTAGCTGTGCACTAATTACAACCTACTTTTCTCATTTGCTTCAGCAATCTTGTATTTCTCACTTTCCTACCCCTACTACTAGAATTTGTTCTTTCAATTTTGTGCTGTGCTTGAGATGCTTCAGAATGGCACCCCACTCATGAGCAATTAGTAATTTCCATGTCTTTAAATTTTCCCTCAAATGCTTCCTTTTAGTTTTAAATTTTTCTAGTTGTAAAGTTTAAGGTTTCTTTATATGCAACTTTTATCATATTCCTATCTAGTTAAAGAGCATGCAACCCAAAAATCACACCCATAAATTTATAAATTTATATTTAAAAATCCAAACATGGTCATCTTCAGGCATGTATGAAAAACTTAAAGGAGAAATAAGTGTAAGAACACAGCAAAATAAACTGAAATCCAACACTTATGGAATTCTACAAAATCACTGCAAAAAATTCACTTTTTAATATATAAAGTAACATTTTTATATTACGTGCATGAATGCTGAATTCCACAATGATCTTTTTTCTTTAAATGAACACCCAACACCTCTGAAAAGATATATTAATACCTCACATAAAATGGAATCTTCGTATGCACTGCCTTGCAAAATCAAATCCTCAGAAATAAATGAGTAAAAGAAAAAATTCAATTAAAGACCCCAAATGACACACACATCTTGTATTATTCAACATTTACTAATACAATTGCTTATGCCAAGACTTAAAGTGATTGATATTCATACATTTTCTCCCTGATTGCCAAATATTAATGTAAATACCATTTTAATCTATCAATGCAGCAACATTGCAGGGTGTCAATTCACCATTAGAATTCCATTATCACCTTGTAATAAACACACTTCACACTTTTAAGCACAGGTTGGCAGGAGTGTACTAGCAATCAAAATAAGCACAGGAAATAGGTTGAGAACAGCACTCCCCATGACGTCATCGCTGCGTACCCCTCAAACTCCGCCCCGTGTCATGTCCAGCATGCGGCACAAGCGGCAGGTCAGGCTCTGCGTGCCGCATAAAGCATGGACACGAAGCCACTCGGAGTGAGGGGCAACGGTGTGCGGACACGACGGCCCACTGGATGATGGCACATCGGGAAATTCCCGGTATCCAGCTGGGCCAGTCTGCCCCTGCAGGTTGGACTTCGCTGGTCCGGCACCCTCAGTACCTCATTGATCCTGCAAGAGTAGATTTGCTGGACCAGGGAAGGTTCCTTCCCTCGTGGTGATGCTGCCACTAAGCTAGGGCTGCTGTCTCAGACTCTGGCCCTCCTACTGCCAGGGCCAAAGTTCTGCAGTTGGGGCAGAGCTCCACAGTCACCTGGCTCTGCAGCTGAGGTAGAGCTCCGCAGGTGTCTGGCTCCACAGCTAGGACCAGAGCACTGCAGCCAGGGTGGGGGGATGGGACTGGAACTCTGTATTTCTCTATCCTTCCCCCCTCCCTTCTCTCTCCTCCTGAGTCTCTGGTGCCCCTTACAGCACTCCTGCCTCACCGCCAGACCTGCCTCTTCCTGGGCTCTGGGGTCCAGGAACATCCCATGGTCCATGCCAGGCCATGGATGTTGCCAGACCATGGAGTCCTGGTTAAGGGAGGTACAACTAGAAACTGATCCCAAACCTACCTTGCAGGTAAAGGTGGAATAGGAAGGTTCCATACAAATTCCACATATTACACTGTTCCTCTTCTCATTATCAGGATCACTTAATTTTGCTTGGTTTTGTTATGGGGAAAGGGAGGAAGGAGAAAATGCATCACACCACTTCTGCTCTAAAACTCCTCTCTTATCAAGAACATTCTAGCTATTCTTGAAGATCTGGCCCTACTTGACTTTACTGACCCAATGGGAATTTTATCTGGCTTTTGACAGCTGGTTCAAATCCTGAGATTAGAGACAAATTATTGGAAGAGCACTGGCAGTCAGGCAAAGGAACTGAAAGACTTTTTGTACATCTCATTCAATATTATGAAACCATTTTATTAGCAGCAAGACAGATGAGACTGTAATGCAAAATAATATAGAAAGATGGGATAAACTTGTTAAGAAATGGGAACCCACAAAATCATTACACTGACCTTTACGAGAAAAATATACTATCAGTTAAAGCAGTGTTTCTCAAAGTGGGCTGCAGGTGGCTTTGGGAAGTTGCTAGGGGGGCTGCGGTCCACTGAGAAACACTGGATTAAAATACTATTTTCCATTGTATCCTCTAAAGTGTGTGGTGATGTAATAGCCTATGGGCATAGAGAAGAAAAGAAAATTCTCTGGACACTTTGAATGACATTTAATGACATAAAATAGATGCATTAAAAAAAAAAAAAAGATCAATACAGGCTGAACCTCTCTAGTCCAGCACACACTGGTCTGGCAACATCTACGGTATGGCATGATTTTAGTTACCTCAATGTCTGCTTATCAAGAGCATGGCCAAGTTTCCCAGAGTCCCATAAAGTTTATTTACAGCCACCAGTCCTGGCTCTCAGGATTCTGTGCAGTTATTCAGCTCTAATTTACCTTTACATAAGAACTCAGCAAGCAGTGGAGATGCTGGCAATGCTGATAAGTGTAAGCATATTTGTTATGCTTGATCTATGTATTTCCTTGTGTTGATACAGTTAATTGTTGTGAAGAGAGCTGATAAAGCCTTGGCTAAGCGTAGGCTTATATATGGCAAATACAGTTAATTGTGTAACACCACCAACACATTGTTGTGAAGAGAGCTGATAAGCCTTGGCTAAGCGTAGGCTTATATATGGCATACCAGTACCGTAATACATTATTAAGCAGCATTGTTCTGTTTATTTGCCTTGGTGAAATAAAAAGGGGGAGAAAAAAAAAAGAGACCCATTCACTACAATATTGACTTCCTGTGGTTCAGTACCGATCAGGTCTTGAGGGTGCCAGACTAGAGAGGTTCAACCTGTAAGGAATATTCTTTCAATTCAGAAAGATAATATACACAATTGTCCTTACCTTGTCTTTTAACGAGAAGGTACCTGGTGTGTCTGCAAAGAGAAACTTGTTCTTAACTTTCAATTTGCCAAGATTAGCCACAATAAGATGGTTAGACTTGGAACTTTCAGGGATAAGCAGAACAGGAGCACCAGCTTCAATGTCAAGAAAAACTCGAGAGGCTCGCTGTGCCTGATTTCTCACCTGGTGGAATAAAAATCCAATTTAAAATATAATTTACCACAGAATAATTTACCAGGAGGCAAACATTTTTGATAATCCTGTAACATCACTAATCATTTTTGTAACCTCACTAATCATTTTTGTAACCACTCTGTATATAAGCTTTTCAAAGGGAAAATTTATTTTCTAGTGCGTTTAATATCTGATATGAAATTGCTTTCTCCTCTTACTGCACTTAGCCATTTTATTATTAAAATACATTCATAGGCAGTCCAATTAAATTTTTGCTATGTTACTGACAAATGTTGATAAGTAGCATGTTTATATTACACCTGGAAACTATATATAGATGGATTGAAACCTGAGAAATTCTAAAATTTCTCCCCACCTACAATAGCAAATTCTTGTTTCAGCTATACAGAAACAAATTACTTGTTTGGAAAGAAAGGGCTGATGAATATTGTGAAAACAAGCCAGAAGTCGTGGAAGAAGAGTAAAGCATAAAATATTTTACTGTCCCAGCCAAACTCAATTACATATTAAGATGGTAAACTGAAGTAAAACTGAACTATTAAAAATATCAACATTTCAAGTTAGCTACAAAATTGTTATTTACGTTCATCCTAGATTGAAAGGAAGTAAATAATCACATCTGTAAATCATTACAGCTAACAATATTTTTCATCAGCTCTCTTAGTGAAAACAGATCAGGCTGAAATTTGAAAAGCAAATGAAAGAGGGTTTTGACTGTCTACATCAAATCAGCAAAATTAAACTAAGTAGGATTAAGAATTCCTGAAAGAATCAGGCATTCTTTGCAACAGAGAGAAGAACCAATCTAAATTCAGAAAACAGGAAATTGGAGCCAGCATTTACTGTTTCACCTTCAGAGTTTACCTTACAGTCAGATAAAAGCACAATATAATCAATTCCCACAGACCAGTGAAAAGCAAATGAATTGTATGTAATCTCTCTTCATTTCCTGACACAAATAATCTCCACAAAAATGTATAAACATGGCAAAGAAGAAGCCATAAAAAATTCTTTATACAAAATCCAACATCTCAAATATCTGTCATTATCAAAAGATGATATGCCATGAAAATGGCTGTTTCTTCCAACAGAACCCCAAGATGTTTCTACATTTTGACACTTTCAGAATACAAATATTTCTATTACATTTCTGAAAAAAATTATATTACTAAAATAATGTTCAATCACCTAATAAATACTACTCAAAAACAGGAAGAATTAACTTGTAGAGTAAGAACAGTTTAGGATTTCAGATATTACAAATGGAAAAAATCAATTAGATTATCATATCCATTCTCCTGCAGAAAGGGGATACAGTTTCCTTGTAAATTCACCAATTAGAACTTCTACAAGAGATTTATAATTTTATTTTTTTATAATACAGGTGTGACACACAGGATAACTGTTAAAAGACTGATTGAACTTCATTTATTGGCCCTGGTTGCATTGCAAAAAATTATATGCTACCATAATCACAGAGATAAGTATACACTTACCCGTGCACATTTAAAATGTAATTTTTTGGGGAAAAAAAATCAGAAGTGATTTCCAGTAAATTTGATCCCTCATAACATCTCATATGCTAGCAATGTTATGCATCTCGTATAATATAAAGAAATCAGACCTCATTACAGCCTAATACTTCTCAAGTTTCTGTGAGATGATGTGGTAAAATAAATGCATGACATATTTCAAAGCCAGGAATGTCTACACTATACTAAGAAAAATGTTGGGGGAAAAAACAAACATACTGTTTGTCCTTCAATTGCTGCTCTCTGGCGCCCTAGGACATCCTGAAGCTGAGTGAAATGTTGGATGAAAGATACCACTTCTGCCTGAAAGCGCTGAGTATGCACATACTGAACTGATGCCATCCGCAAGCTGACACGAATATCACACTCTCTTTGTAGCAAAGGGTCAGGTCGCCCATACCTGTGATAAAAAAAATAATTGAATAAAAAATTAAAAACCTCTACACAATTTCAAGTTCACTTACACCTGAACAGCAACATTTGCAAATTGTTACAATAAAAAGTGATCATTTTAATAATTGTAACAATACCTTACACTTGTTCAACTAAAAACTGAAGTTACAGCAATATTTGAAAGAATAAGTTCTTAATTAAATCCTAAATTACTATGCACTCGTATATATACCACTGTGATTAAATCAAGCTATCAGAAAAAAAATGAAATTCTGAATTTTGACTTATCTTTAACTTAGTAGGTCATGCCTATATTTTGCAAATATCCAGAACAGTGATATTTTATCTCTCTAACACTGTATTATGTGTTACAACACTTACATCATAAGTGGCAGTAAAAGAACATTCAACTCTGAATGTCAATGTGTTCTATTAGTTTAAGTTGATCTTCATGCTAACAAAACAATTTTGCAAGTGACAGAATAATGAAGACAAGACATTTAACTTCAAAACATTTGAATACATAGAACAAAATGTCATTTAAATTGAGCACAACTGCTGTAGGACAATGTTGAAAAGGCCTAACTCTAAAAGTGAGACAAGTGGAAACAAGTTTACTGTAGTTCACAGATGGTACCAAAGGTATCATTTGTACTGAATGGGAAGCTTTGAGGACACAATAAAACTCCAAACGTCATTAGTAGGGCTCGCCAAACCGTGGTGAGCCCCGCTCTCCAGCCGTGCTGTCCGGTGATCTGTGCATGCGCAGATCGCCCAAACCCAGCTCTTGTGGGTTTCAATCTACTCGCCACGAGCGAGTAGATTGTATTATTTGTCGAGCCCTAGTCATTAGAATAGTTCAGATTTTTAATCATAACACTAGCTGATCCCCTTGAGGGGTCCAAAGATTGCTGGCAGTATAACATTGAAGGAAGTCCCCTCTCTACTCTGCACACATCCTCCCTTCCTTGCTCTTTCTGTATACAAGCAGTCCCCGAGTTACGCGGATCCGACTTACATCGGATCCGCAGATACGAACGGGGATTTTCTCGCCCCGGAGGACTGGAGCGGCGGGATGCCTGGTCCCGCCCCCCGCCTCCTCCTGGGCGAGAAAAGCTGCTCCCCATCTCCCTGGTCTGCTGCGGGAGCCAGCAGACCAGGGAGACGGGGACCAAAGCGGCGCAGGACCCGGGCCAGACCGCGGCGCTTCCAGCTGATCTAG